ATGGAGAATCTCGAGGACTTCGACACGGAGATGGAGGAGATCGCGCTGGGAAACGGCGTCACGGCACGGAGGCAGCATCCCCAGGCCTCCTCCTCCTCCTCCGGCAACTGGCTCGAGCACGCGTTCAATGACAGCGACTGCCTCGTGAGCAGCGACGGTTCCGACTGCCAAATGAACGCGACTCTTCTGGGAAACAGTTCCGCCACGGATCTCCCGCCTAGTCTCGGCTTCGATGAGAACGCCATGACGGATATCATCGTCTACTGTGTCCTCTTCATTGTCGCGGCCATCGGGAACTTCACCGTGTTCATCACCCTCTTTCGCAACAGACACAGGAAATCGCGGGTCAACCTCATGATCATGCACTTAGCGGTCGCCGACCTGATGGTGACGCTCATAAACTTCCCTCTCGAAGTCGGCTGGCGGATCACGACGCAGTGGGTGGCAGGGAACCTCGCCTGCAAGCTCTTCCAGTTCCTTAGAGCTTTCGGACTCTATCTCTCGTCCCTCGTGCTGGTCTGCATCAGCCTCGATCGCTACTTCGCCATTGTCCATCCGCTCAAGGTAATAATGATAATAATGATAATAATAATGATAATAATAATAACAATAATAGTATTAATAATAATAATAATAATAATGATAATAATAATAATAATAATGATAATGATAATGATAATGATAATGATAATAATAATAATAATAATAATAATAATAATAATAATAATAATAATAATAATAATAAATTATAATAATAATGATAATAATAATAATAATAACGATAATAATAATGATAATGATAATGATAGATATAATGTTGATAATAATCCTAATGATGATTAGAACAATAACAATAATAATAATGATGATGATGGCAATGATAATAAAAATAATGATAATAACAATAGCAATAATAATAATGATAATAATGATAATGATAGTAATGATAATGATAATAATAATGATAATAATAATGATAATAATGATAATGATAATAATAATAATGATAATAATAATAATAATAATGATAATAATAATAATAATAATGATAATAATAATAATAATAATAATAATAATAATAAAAATGATAATGATAATATATATATATATATATATATATATATATATATATATATATATATATATATATATATATATATATATATGTATGTGTGTCGAGAGAGAGAAAGAAAGAGAGAGAGAGGGAGAGAGAGAGAGAGAGAGAGAGAGAGAGAGAGAGAGAGAGAGAGAGAGAGAGAGAGAGAGAGAGAGAGAGAGAGAGAGAGAGAGGCAGGCAGGCAGAGGCAGAAACAGAGAGAGAAACAAAAACAGAAACTGAGACAGAGGCAGAGACAGCAAGACAAACAGGCTGGTTCAGAGACATAGAAGCAGACATAACGAATACATGTGAATATAGTTTATATAAAATATTTTAACATAAAGTTCGTTAACTAATTACGCTTCGCTTAATGAAGATTGTGCTCATACCGGAACTCCCGCATGTTCATTTCAAAGTTCAGTCAAGAGCTAAGGCCATTCCCCTTCTGTCACTCGCTAATTGGTTCTCGCATGTAAATATGGAGGTAGCAAGTGAGGGTTCAGGGGAATGAGTGGGCGAATAAGGGACTAGACTAATGTGCGAATAAAAGGAATGGATGAATGTATAAATGCATGGCGTGTGTAAGGGCGAGTGAGTGAGTGAGTGAGTGACAGTGCGAATGAGTATTGAGTGAATCAGTGCGAGGGAGAAAAAGGTGCTTGCATGTCTTAACAATTAAAATTAAAAATCATTCATAATCGCTCGATGAATTACATAATCTATTCCTTTTTCCTCATGGAAATCCTTAGCCAACACGTACTGTATGACGGTTACCAAACTAATCTTAACAGTATGCAATTGCGAAACCACGCTCCCTCTCCTCATTAGGTACACCCATGCATAACGCAATAACCATAGTACATCCATTCATACATTGCACAGTGATCATGCTATGACCTTAAATTATGCAATAACCGCACTGCGCCAATGCATTACGCAAAGACCATGCTATACCCATACATTACAGAATAACCATACTAGACCCATATATTAAAGAAACCATACTACATCCATGCATTATACAATAACCATACAACACTCATACATTCCACAACTATACTACACTCATGGGTTCCGCAAGACCCATACCACACTCATACATTCCACAAGAACCATACAACACCCAGACAATACTCAACGACCATATTACACCCATACACAGCATATACACACACGAGCTCCCACAGAAACCCAGACAGTTATTGGAGAATTAGGTTAAATTTTCCTTCCCTGGCCGTGTAACAACTCCAAAGTGATGGCTTACTGTGATGACAAGCCTGTTCAATCAAGGACAGAACGCATTCTATTAACCTCCTCGTGCTTTAGTGTCGAATATACAATGATTAAAGCAGTTTGTTTGACGCTGTTTGTCTACCAGGTATAGTATGTCAAGTATAATGT